GCTTCCAAAACGGTTCTATTGCAAGACCGGAAATTTATTCTCTCGTCTGGTACACATTTCTAGTCATTAAATTGAAATGATAAATAAGTACCTTAAAAACAAGCCCTACATTGACACCCCCTCATTACACCAAGGTTGATAAGTTGTCGGACGGCTGAAATTTACCTGTGTTCAGGCCACAGATAAACTCTTATGTACCGCACATCAATCGCTCAATTTACAATTAGTTTCAAAATATCACTAGCTTACATCTAACAAATGTAGTTAAAAGGATATAGGTTATCAAAAATAGGTGTTAAAATATGATTTGATGATGAATTAAAAAAGATAGTAAAAAATGTTATATGCGATTAACCGTCAGAATCAGCGACCATGTTTGAACTAGCACACATGAGCAAGTGTGAGATTAAATTATGGATCCAAATTCTTCAATCAAAGTGCTTTAGAACACAGAAGGGTAAAGTTTGCAAAAAATATGCAATTTTGTGAATTTAAAATAAAACATTGAACTGTCTTTAGTTAGGCAAATAATTTGAAATTATAAATTTGAGTTGAAGTAATCTTCCTTTGTTCATGATTGTAAAGTAGTAGTTTAACCTATTTTTATTCATACACAATGCATTTCTTCTGTAAATTCTAATAAAGATTTTTTTCATAAGTATGATGATTTAAATACACAGTCTATTTGCAATTGAATATATTACCCTTCTGTGTTTTAAAGCACTTTTATTGAAGAATTTGGATGCATAATAATCGTTTATAAAGTGCTTGACATTGACTCATTGAATTAAACGAATAAACAATTTACTGTCAATAGTTTGTTTGAACTATGAAAAAGTATGATTAACCTTTCAAGAGTTATTTATCAAGTCAATTCAATATGCGGTCAATGGTTTTATTTTCATTTACCAGAAGATATGAGTAATGTTAACTTGTATATGTAAATTTGTAAAATTTTTATTTTATTTTCAAGAAGTATCTTTCCTTGATTTTCTACAAAGAATTACTTATAAAAGTGTAACCTTGTATCTCAAGAACTAATCAAAGACAAATGTTGTGTGCATAGATGTAAAGTAATTGCGCCAGGCCTTCAAAAAATTGCTCCTTGATGACTTGTAAATGAGCAGTATTTTGAAGATAACAGGCAAATGAAATTTTCATTGTCCATGACATCATACTTTTAAAAATAGTTAAGACAACTATTAACGACACACTATTAGAACAATGTAGTCAAGTGATTTAAAGATTAGAGGAAAACAAGACTTTTTTACTTATATAAGTAAAACATTGAATGGCTTAGGGTTAAAACTCTACCTCATAATAATTTACATGTCCCAGTAAATAAAAGCACTTGAAGACGGATCACCCCCAGCTTTAGTGGGGTTCGTTTTGTTCAGTCTTAATTCTGTAGGTTGTATTTTGTGTACTATTGTTTGTATGTTGGTTCTTCGTTTTTGGCCATGGCGTTGTCAGTTAAAGTTCGACTAATGGGTTTGGATGTCCCTCTAGTATCTGTCGCCCCTCTTGTATAAGTATACACCCCTGACTGAAAGGGTTTTGATTGCGTTTAAGGCACTATAATCCTGAAAATGCTAAAAATTAATATGTTTATTTACGTTCATGTATTTTCCGCAATAAAATAACGTGGAAATAACTACTTAAACTCAAATGTGCTTTGTAAACGTGCACGTATCAGGTTCTTGCTTTAACATTGTCAAATCAACATCCCATAATAGGAAATGTTTCTGACATTTCGATTTTGCATTAATAAAGAGTCTAAAGCAGATGTTAGTACACTGATGTTGCACACTTCGAATGATGTCAATGTAACAGTTTATAGTAGAACATGGAGTTCAAATCAAAACTCAAAAAATTTAAATCGTTTTCATGTCAATCGTTGTTATGATGCTCAAATGATTAATCTGATTGCATTTGATTACAAAGTCTATATGAATAAAAACTGCGATAAAAATATTTGGCTGGCTCATTTTTGTTTTGAGAAGTTAAAATGATATTGCGAATAGAAATAGTGAAAGTGTCAAAGATCAAACCAAACCCTAACCCTAACCCTTACCCAAACCAAACCAAACCCTAACCCTAACCCAAACCAAACCAAAGAGCAGAAAAAAGCTCAAGGCCACAACTGGGTCTTCAACACAGCGAGAAAATCCAGCACCAAGAGGCGGGTTTCAGTTGGCCCCTAAACACAACGGGTACTAGTTCAATGAAAATGGACGTCACATTAAACTGGAAACATTTAAATGAACTAAGATAACAATAATAGTATACAAGACTAACAAAGGATAAAGGTTCCTGACTTGGACATGCGCACAAATGCGGCGAGGTTAAGCATGCTTAGTGAGATCCCAATCCTTCCCTTATACATCTAGCCAATGTAGAATAAACAAACACACCCTTCCCTTATACATCTAGCCAATGTAGAATAAACAAACACACAGCAATACGCACAGTAAAACTCAATTCAAACGAAGTCCGAGTCTAATGACAGAACAGGTAACAGATGAAAATATGCAAAATGACAATGATACATACATTAACAATGGACTTCTAGCAGTTTCTGACATGCAATATCCAGACATCATTTAAATTGATTAGGACATGATCTCTACATTAACAAACTTCTACCAAAGTTTCATAGAATTCTATGAAGTTTTGACAATGTGATTGATGTACAACAAACCCTAACCCAAGACTATCAAACTGTCAACTAGGAAAAAAAGTTATGAAGCCCCTTTATCAGTAATATACGGAACATGAATGAACCGATTTTATTGTTTTGCTTTGTAAACTGTATTTTGGTCATACATAATCTTTTCTCCAACTTACGTTAAATTCAATGAAGATTTGACAAAGTTATTGATGATTGAAAAACTTTAACCATGGCTGTATCTAAATGTTTACTGTCTAAACAAGTAAGTTTATCTAATACATGTAATATAAAAATATAGAAAAATGGAAACAAATATTTACAAAATGTTGCCTTGTTAGAAATCTCTAAAATATAAATAAGCTTCTGTTCCACTTTCATAAAATTCCAAAAAGGTTTGATGTCTAATTTATTTTAACTAATTACATAAAAAATGATTCACTCGGTCTACATGTATCGCAATTTCGGGGAAAATGCCGCTATCAGCGCAATCTCGGATTCGTTCACTTGGTAAGAAAAGAAAACTGAGAACTTTACTCAAATATCAATTTACTTGAGCTTTGCATTGACCAATGGGATCAATTTCTAACATGCTAAATAAACTTACACGTATTAATATAGAGACAAACTTACATCGGATATATATCTCCATGCTGTATTTGAATAAGCAGTGTCTATTCTATTACTATCATGATGAGCTAGTTTATTCCTGTAACATTTTATCCTGGCAAGATCTGATCCTGGAGTTGTTTCTCCTGGTAGTGGTAGACTGTCAAATCCATTGATTGGTGGACTGATAGAAGTCAAGTTTCTGATAAGACAGATCATCAACGTTACATCAAATGTTTTTGAATCTGGAACCCCTGTAATATCATTAGCAAGAGAAATGTATTACTAACAGTCATAAAACCAATGTTAAAAGTTGTAATGCTGGAGTATTTAATTCGCCAGTTTCAATATTAGATCTAGCTATGTTTAGATAAAATGTTACTATAAGAATACTGACAAAAATATTTGATACTTCTTGAACATGTCGAAGATATATTTACTATTATATCTATGAAAAAATGAAAATCTCTTTTATATGAGGCCTTGGTTTTTGTTTACAGAATTTGTATATATTTATTCACAATCAGGACATTCATGATAATTTCAGGGTGAGCAAAAAATTGAAATCAAATTTTATGCGTTGTTTTTTTTTTCTGTTTTCACGAAAGACAGCAAATGGAGTGAATGTAAAGACGTCATAAACAATCATAGTAAAACATGTATCAGAATTATTTTTTGTGGATCGAATAAGTCTCTACTAAATGGTAAACCCTTGTTGCACTTTCAATTTTGACATTTTGTTCCTTTTGAAAGCTAAACATGATTAGTATATGCAAACCTATTTTCAGTTAATGTGTTAAACTTAAGTAGATGAATACGGATTCACAATAGGTCGAACTATTCTCTTGAAACTGTACAAAACATCAGTCATGTTTTTTAGCTTATTTGGACAAATTTTGGGCAAACCTAATGCTTACATCAACATATTTGTTTTCAAAATTTCGGTTTTACTAGTACTTGAAAAAGAAAAGATTTTTAAAATTTCTTGTCTAAATCTTAGCGTATGCCCCTGTAAAGTTTTTTCCGTTAGAGCGGGTCCATTTGGTTTATAAGAATGAGTCTATGAAACACAATTTATATCCAAAATTTGTTCCAAATAAAATCAAATCTAATGATGACAAAAAAAACCAAGCTTATTGAAAAGGGCTATTAACATAGATTTTTCGTTCCTTTGAATTATTTGCTTTAACAACATTTCCAGATCTGTTCCTATGTATATTTATATTTATATCTTTAAGAACACGAACACAGCAGATTATTTTGAGATTTTTATTCATCACGATGTGTTATCATTTCTGTTTAAATATGATACAGTGATGAATATAAGAAATGTGATTACCTAGAAATGCCGATTGATATTCTAGGAATAATGAATTTGCGTAAAGGTACATGCATGAAATTTTGAAACGTTACTTGTTTGAGTAATGCCGTTGGCTGTCTTGATTGATGCTTTATACATCTAGCACATCAATACAGAAATGAACTTAATTAAGCAACAGTTTGTAAACAGAAAAAATGTAATGACAAAATATTGAAGATGTCATTTATAAATAAGGTTTTTTTTCGGTGTTAGCCATGATCATTAAAAAATATTTTGTGAACCGCATTCTTCCATTGATGAAGTCATCTATAAACATACCATTTCTTGGAATTAAAAGATTCCACTGAGTCTGATTTATGATTCTCTTTACTTTTAAGTCCAAAAGAGTGTTGTGGCTTGTACTCAGTGTTGAGGGTAGAGAGGTAGGTGAAAATTCTCTGTCAAAATAAGTACGGACAGCTCTAGGTGTCACTCCTTTTAACAACAACGCTAACCGGACATAATTCTCCTCTTCTATAGAAAGAGGTGCCATGATTTCAGGAATGTCACTGTTTAACGATAGAAGCCTATATCTTGGTAACTAAATGGTTCGTGTATTCCTGAAAAAAATAAAGATGTTACTATAAATGAATAAGATATGATGATAGTAACTTGAGGATGTTGATATAATTTATCATAAGATTAAGATAAACAAAAAGTTTCCAAGGAGCATCGACTATATTTTCCACAAACAATAATCTTAAATAAAAAAAAACTTCATGGCGTTGTTTATTTAATTTATTTTGTTAGTTTGAACGACCCTTTGGTATCTTTCACCTCTCTCGTAAAAAATAAAATTAAGATTGGAAACATATAATTTGTCAAAGAGACATCAGCCCAATCAGAGAGCAGAAAACAGCCCAAGGCCACCAATGCGTCCTTAACACAGCGAAAAATCCAAGCACCCAGAGGCGGGCTTCAACTAGCTCATAAACAATAATATATACTAGCAAAAATTGAAGTCACACTAAGCTCTGAAACATATCAATGAACCAAAATGAAATTAAAAAAAAAACAACATATAAGACTAACAAATTCAAGAAGTTCTAGACTTGAAACAGGTTGAGTATCTCAAACTTCCACCTATACCTCAATACACACAGTAAAATTCAGTTTAATAGTAAAAAAGAGTCTGATGTTAGAATAGGTTACAGAAGATACTAAGCAAAAAATTGTCTTCATTGGCTGTCGATACATGTTCATCGATTTGATTCCAATTCTCATTTTTGATTTATAACATACTGAAACGTATATCGAAAAAATAAAAAGTCTAAAACAAACAATTTACATGGCATGGGTTCGATAATATATATCATCGTTTAATGTGTTATTTAGTCTAAACGCCATCTTATCAACTGGTATAAGCAATATAAAAATAAATATAGATGAAATAGATAGCAAACTCGTGCAATGAATTTTTCTAGGTCAGTTTAATTTTTTACATGTATTACAGGTTACAAATATGTGTCAATCATCGTTTTTACCTGTATAAGAATGAGTTTTTGTGGATTGAATCAATCAATCAAATGATTTGCTTATGTTTTTTTTTCAATGTTGACATTCTTTTCCTTTTAATAACCGAACACGCATTTTATGCGTAATCCATCTCTAGCTAAGTAAAACTGAAGGTCACATGACTACGGATTCAATGAGGTCGAATTATTCACTTGTAAGTGAACAATTCATCATCGATGTTTCTTCCATTATTTTGACAAAATTGAACCATACTAGCTGGTAAAAGCGAATTATTATTTCACTATTTCAGTTAAATAATCATTGAACAAAAAAAATCATATTGTAATTTTGTTATATATCTCGTGGTTAGTGCCCATTTAGGAGGAAAAACTCCAATAAGGAATTGTCTGATAGTTTTGGTAGAAAAACTAGCTGCAGGTACACATGGTAGATATAAGGTTAATTTTGACATTTAGATATTTCTACATAATCAGATTTTTTATAATAGTTTAAATTTAACGGACAATACTAGTATTTTACCACTATGTACTAGCATAACCCTTGGTGACAAAGTTGTTTAGAAGGAGGGGAAATCAAACATAACTCGTTTAACTTACTTCCCACGGGATGATTGAGGACAAGTGTGGTTCCAATAGGTCGAGTAATTTCAGAGGAGAAGACAGCTATAAAAATCCTCGAAATGGCAATTGTAAAACAATTCAATTGAATTCAAACTCACGGCCTAAATTATGTACAAAAACAAATAAGTAACACAGCAACAGACGAATTACAGGCTCCTGACTTGGGACACGCACATACAAATTGTGGCGGGATTAAATATGTTAGTCGACAGCCAACCCTCTACCTGACCTGGGACAGTAGTGTAACAGTATAACATATTAAGAAAAAAGTATGAAAATCAGTTGCAAAAGGCTCAACTCATCAGATGGATACAAATAGAAATACATCTAACAAAAACACGGAGTGGACCTCCATAGGAGGTTGTACATTCCAACAACAAAAAACACTAAGTACAGATCTGACAGTAATCGCAGTTATTGACAGCTAGTTCAAAGCCAATAACAGCTAATCAAAAAATCATGCATCTGAGACTAAATCATCATTTAAAGTCTGACAAAGTGCCAAATTACTGTGATGATTCATAAAAAAATATATTTTTATTTTTTCTTGACAAACTGCTTCATTTAAACTGGTATGTGGCGCCGTTTAAGTCCACAATTCCTCTTAAGTCCACAACAAATTTCCGCTAGAGTCCACAACGCCGTTAAAGTCCACAAACTTTCCGCTAAAGTCCACAAAATGACCTCCGCTAAAGTCCACAAAAAACACCGTTAAAGTCCACAATAACAAGTTCTGCTAAAGTCCATAAAAACACCGTTAAAGTCCACACAACTTTTTTTTTATTATTAAAAGATCAATTCGCTTTTTTTATAATAGATCTAATAAAAAGCATGAACTTCTGTTCTTGGAAAGTATTTCTTATCCGCTTGCATTATATTTTTGATAAATGAAAAGATTCTGATTTTGATCCCCATAACAGATCTTTGTATTGTGATTTTCTATGAATCAAACAGGCAACATTTCTGAAAATTTATCTAGCTATGGTGCTCTTTTTGTATTTTCTTTGGTAACCATTTATACACACTGACATATCTTGGAGCCTATATTTGACATTGAAATTTCGTTTGTAAATATCTTTGCAAATATCAAATAACATAAGAACGAAATCCATTCAGTTTCTGTTAGGCTCCACAGCAGCCAAAACGGTCCCTTATTCCAAAAATAGACTTTAAACCATAATGTTCATGTTTGAATTCAAAATAATGATAAATAACAGAATTCCACACATGCATTTTATGGTGCTAAGCAGATTTCGAATACTCATTAGTTTGCATGTTTGTTTGGTTTTCAAAAAGGAAAACGTATTTGTTTCAGAATGCGTTGAAGATGAATTGAATAGATTATACGCAGATGCGATTCTGTATAATGTCTTACCCATGATGAGTACAAGTATAAAAGATTTGCGCACCTTTTAAGAATGAAGCGCTTGCACGCTTCATACAAAATGTACTTCGGTCAACGCTTTTACACCCTAATGAATTTACAAAAAGAAGCATTCAATTCTTAAATACAGGCATTTGTTAAAATCTTACACTAATATTATTACAATTACAATAAAGAGAATAAGCGAACATTCAATCAATTGAAATGAATTATTTATTTTCTTTTTTGGCACTCTCGCCCACAAGGAACATTAGATTTTTTACATTTACATGTTTTGTGCATGCATATTCCTTTCCATTTACGTTTTTAGTAAAGTTTCTAAATATTCTAAAAACTTTTCTTTCCACATTATGTTTACTTCCAATAACTTCAATTTCACCGAGCATAATTCAATTTCGTTTATTACAGACATGCTAAATACAGAAGATTACCATATCAAATGAACGTGACTTTTTTGAATAATTAAAATATAAAGTTTATATTTCAATTGCAATTGAACTTTTTGTATTATTTTAAGATTTCATTTATGTTGATCTGTAATGTACATTTGTATCTAATACACAAAATTAGGCAGACCGTACGCGTACAGTCCGACCGTATGCGTATTTTGGAAAAAGTAAGCATTTGCTCCAGACCGTACGCGTACGGTCCAAATATTAATATGGTCTGGAACATATATGTTGTAGGTCGCTGTAAACAATTTGAAGGTGCAAATTTGATCAAAACACTCTATAATAAATTGGCTGAACTTGCATAAACTAGGTTTCAGATTTAGATAAAAAATCATCAGACTCTAATACCATGAATTTGCAGATTACTTTAAACAAGACCGTTGACCACCCACTTTACTTCCGGTTAATCAGTTAATAGGTATAATGACCTGGTAGGCAAACATTTCCAATTGACAACATTAAAATTAAAATATTACTCTGATTTCAAGTTTGCCAGGAATTACTAAACAAATCAAAGTGGCGGCTCGTGTCTTAGTTTCTTCCCTTGATTTGTTTGGTACAAAAAAATAGGAAAGGCGATCAACATTACTTTTGTTTTTTGGTTTATGAGAATTGATAATAATGAAGTATAGAAAAAAGTAAAATCACAAAAATACTGAACTCCGAGGAAAATTCAAAAAGGAAAGTCCCTATTCAAATGACAAAATCAAAAGCTCAAACACATCAAACGAATGGAAAACAACTGTCATATTCCTGACTTGATACAGGCATTTTCGTATTTAGAAAATGGTGGATTGAAACTGGTTTTAAAGCTAGCTAAACCTCTCACTTGTATGATAGTCGCATCAAATTCCATTATATTGACAACGATGCGTGAACAAAACAGACACCATAGGTAAAAATGTCAAAAATAGGGGTACAGCAGTCAACATTGTGTTATCATCTTAATCACTATAAAACAAACAAATGTAACGAAGTAGCACAAAAAGGCATACATCAAATTTAACATCCTCATTTTGCTATTTTATTATATGATTTTATTTATCTATATAAAATCCACCCATAAAGGATGGAAGGTTTTAAGTACTGGCGTAAAATCGCGCGTTTGAAATTCGTACAGGTAGACATAAAATAATTTTGTCGTTCAAAGTATGACGAGATACATAAGTACAGAGTCACGTAAAATGAATATCACAAAAAACAGACTTAACAATAAAAGTAATATTAATCAATAAAATAATTTTGTGGTTCAAAGTATGACGGGATACATAAGTACAGAGTCACGTCAAATTTATATCACAAAAAACAGACTTAACAGTAAAAGTAATATTAATAAATAAAATAATTTTGTCGTTCAAAGTATGACGGGATATATAAATACAGAGTCACTTTAAAATTAATAAACAACAGGAAATTCTGTACAGCATATACATATCTAAATATTATTAAAACTAGAGTATCATGTGATCTTAAGCTTGTATCGTTCACTTGACCTAAATATCATCATTGTTGGTTTTAAGGAACACATAGTTTAAGCTTTTTCTATTGAAGCGTATTCTAAACTTTGGACCTCTAGTGCTCGGTCCCCATGGCCATGCATTTCTTTAAACTTAAATCTTCACATCCAT